GAAATGAAGGCAAACAGGGTTAAGTGACTTCCTGCCTCTATCACCCAGCTGCCCCCACAATCATTTTGATTACCCTCTTTGATCACAGGAATAGTCTCCAGCTTATCTACACCCTCCTTAAACTATGTTATTCATAACTGATCATGCTATGCAGATGTGGTCTGGCCAGTATCAAGGTCAAAGAGACATCTCTTTCTGGGAAGGTGATCATCTCATCTCCATTGCAATCCAAAATCACTTTAGAGTTTTGGGCTGGCATAGCACCTTGGTAACTCACATTGATCTTAAGATCTTCTCCAACACCCATATCTTTTTCACAGAGTTTGCTAACCACATTGCCATAATCTTGTGAAATTAGGTTTTTGACCTCAAGTATGAGACTTTGCATTTACTGTTCCAGCCTGTCATTGGATCTAACCTCTGTCAGTGAGTATGTCAGCGATCTCTCCATCTTTGTCATCTGCAAATTTGGTGAAGATGCCATCTATGTTTAGCCAAATCTTTATTTAAACATAACAACAATAACACAGGACAAATGCCAGATCCTTTATGCACTCTACTCTAGACCTCCCACCTAGTTGACATCAAAATATTAATGGCTAGCCTTTGAATGAATTCAGCAAGTTTTGGATGCATTTAGGCCACCTGTCTCCAACTTGCCCAAAAGGTTAGAATGCAATGCATTATCGAATATTTTACTGTGATGTAGGTTACCTGTATCTATAACACTTTTTCCGACCTATTGGGTTGATAACTCTGTCAAAAGAGAATTGAGGTTAGTCTGGCATAGTCTACTTTTGCTGTGCTAGCTCTATTGGGATCACTGACCGTGAGAGATTGCTATCTTCATATCCCATGGGTATTTCAAACTTAACATGTCCAAGACATCGCTCATTATCTTCCCCACTAAGCCTTGTTCCCTCTAAACTTCTCTGTTTCTGTTAAGGATACCACCATTTTGCCAGTGACTCAAATTCCAATTTCAGAACCATTATTTCCCCCTCTTTTCTCATTCCTCCTTATTCAATTGGTGCTAGGTGTACCACCACAAGATAGCTAACATCTGCCTCTTCTGTCTACTTATATTGGCCACCAACTAGTTTAGGGCCTTAATACCTCTCCTTTGAATTATTCATTATAATAGCCTCCTAAATGGTCTACCTGCTTCCAGTGTCTTTCCTCTTCAATCCAACCTGCACACAAGTTCAAAAATAATCTTGCTAAGGTACAAGCTTGGCTATATCACTTACCTGTACAAAGGATGTCACTCACCTCTGCAAACTCCTCAGTTTGACATTTTCACAGTCCACATCCAGTCTACCTGTCCATGCTTATTTCATTTTATTCCATATCTTCAAATATTCCATCTTGTTCAAATAGTACCACTTATTTTCCCCTAACTTGGATGTAGCTTCTACTGTGCCTTTGAATATGCTTCTTCCCATGCCTGAAATGTACTTCCTGCTTTATCCCTGCCCTTTTGAATGCCTCTCTACCTTCCAGTTTCAGCTTCTGTAACACTGGAAACAGGAAGCCTTTTCTGATTACTACTAGTCATAATTATTTCCTGAAATTACCTTGAATTTACTTATCTGCCTATTTTTTTTTGTATCCTCAGTAAAATATAAGCAGGGAATGCATTCCTTGATACCTTGAACATAGTAGGAATTTAATACTTTTAAAATTGAAGACAATGTGATATTCAATAAAGGAAACTGTCTCATGAGTGGGTAAGTGAATTTGGGGCTAGGTACTTTTTTCACCTAGATCTGCGTTTGTGTCCAGGGGTTCTGTGTCCCTGTCCTATCTCCAGGCCAAAGTCTCTCCTCTCAGTTGTGTCCATCCAAATTGGGGCTAGCTTTTTTTGTTTGTTTGTTTGGCAATGGAGTTAAGTGACTTGCCCAGGGTCACGTAGCTAGTGTCAAGTGTCTGAGGCTGGAATTGAACTCAGGTCCTCCTGACTCCAGGGCAAGTGCTTTATCCACTGTACCACCTAACTGCTCCAGGGGGCTAGCTTTTCAAAGGAAGAGTAGTCACTGCAGTCTGCTGGGTCTAAGGAAAAGTTCAAGTGTCCTAACAAGGTCGATGGGGATCATGATTTATAGACGTTTTGGGACTGGAACTCTGTCAGGACCACAGTTAGGCTCCACTATATTTCACAGGGAAGTACCAGAGAGATAGACCATAGGATGGAATGAAAACATGGAAAGTCTCAAGGGATGGGGTTGGGGTGGAAGGGATGAGTGGTTCCATGGTGTTCCTTATTTCAGTCTCAGTTCACAAATGCCTTTGAATTACTGCTGAATGTGCAAACTTCCCCCCATCTCTCTTGTTCCTGTATGTATTTGTGTGGGAGAATGCTCAACATTACAAACAGAACACATGAAATAAAACTACCTTCTACTATTAAGCAGTTGGTGAACCTTTAGGCAGTATGTATATGTTAGTAATTATTGTGGTCAGATTTGGGGAATTAGAGGAATAATACAAAGGGACTGTCATCCTCTGAAGACTGATGTAAGGGTTCAGGGGTGGGGAACCTGTGGCCCTCTAGGTCCTCAAGTGGCCCTTTGACTGAATAAATAAAAGGAGTTGCTCTGTAAAACTTGGATTCAGTCAAAAGGTTGCACTCAATGACCTAGATAGCCACAGGTTTTCCACTACTTAAGTGATCAGTCTTCGTGAAAAATGAAGCTATTTGGAGGTAAGAGTCTCCCAGCATCCCAGTCCTTGTTACAATCCCCACCTTGTAGCTACTGAGTTGTCATACATTGATTCCCCCATCCTCTATATCTCAGACTTTATTAGATTGTGAGCTCCTTCAGGACAAGGAATATCTTTTACCTTTCTATGTATCCCCATGCTTAGCACAGTACTTGACACGCAGTAGGTGTTTAATCAATATTTATTGACTGACTGACTCAAACCTACCACCATTCCTTAGGACAGTATTTCAGGCCAAGCAGTACAAACCGATTACAGCAAGTCAAGTCTGGCAGCTGCACAAACTTAATGGGATGTTTTCATCTCTTTAGTTTGCAAATATTTTACCTTTACTTCCCAACCAGTATCATCCTCAGCCTCCCTCCTCTAAAAGAAAACCAAACCAAACAAAAAAAAAACTTTTCACAAAAATCTTGACTCTCTTTCAATCTGTTTGCAAGTCTAAGAAGAAAGCTGAATTTGGGTAGTGGAGGATACTTGGGCAGGAAAAATGTAGAATTCTAGAAAGTTCAGATTCAAGATGTTGGACACAGGTACCTGTTGTGGCAAACTGCCTAGGCTAGAAAAAAAAGAGAAACATTTAAAAAACCCTTGGAATATCTTCTTTGTTTAAATATTTGGGCATTGGTAACACTTAGTTTTGAATGCTTTCCTCTCACTTTCCTCTTATTTAAAAAAAAAGTTCTTGTGAAAAGACTTAAGTACACAGACCTACACAGTTGACAGATAAATTTACTTTTAATTTAACTTGAAGGCTTCCAGAGTTCTTTTTGGCCAGGTGGATCAGGTCAAGAAAAAAATCTACAGAACGATATGGGAAGCGATGTCTGGGCTTCTGAAGCAGCTCTTGTGTCAAAATCTAAATCTAGAATCTGAGAATGACTGCTCCCACAGCAGGGCACTAACTTCCATATTTCTCCATATCTAAGAGAATGTGCCATTTTTTTCTTTGCATCTCAAGTACCTAGCATAGTGCATAGCTCATTGGTGATGCCCAATAAATATTTATTGAATTTGAATTTTAAAAAGCCTCAGTTCCAGTTATTCCAGGAAAAGACATGACAAATAAGAAGACAATATTTAGAAGCATGTTAAGGGATTTTTTTATCCAAAAAGGAATGAATATTTACAGAAAGAAGAGGTCTGAGGGTATTTCTAGGAATTTCCACCCAGTTAATCCCAAATCACCATCTCTTAAACATACCTAATTTAGGCTATATTTCACACATTGTGCTTTAAAGAGGAAACAAAACTCTATTCACTCTTATCACCCAGGCAAATCCTCACCTTTAAATGCACTTCTTTAATATAAACTTTAATGTAAACCACATTGACATACCAGCTCTTCTCTAGACTTCCCCAGGTAAAATGTGGTCCTTGGAGGAAAGACAAATCCCTTTCCCTTGACATATTAGTATGGATGAGATTATCAGATATGACCTTGGAAAATATCGAGTCTAGGACAATGGGGCATATTGGAAGGGGGGGGGGTGTATGGGGCACTGGATAAGCATAGAAAAATCCTAGTTTCTCTTCAGCTTGGTTCAAAGCCAAGGCCTATAAACAGAAACCTTTCTCTCTTCAATATAGTACCTCTAACTTAACTCAATTTCCAGAAGTAGGGAAAAGCCAAGAAAAAGTGAGCAGTGATATCTCACTCCAAATAATGCCAATCATTTCAGGTCCTTGGGAAGAAAGTCCTATCACTCTGTTTCTAACACATGTATATCCCCAAGCGTAGATGATGGGGGGGCGGGGAAGGGGAGAAGAAGGGTAGGGTAAACATCGAGCTGTAAATAGCCTGATTAAAATATTAAAACTAACATTTCTGAGGCAGTCATGACAAAAGAAGCAATATGCTGTGACAGACAAGTGCGTTGGGATAATGTGAGGGACAGAAGTACAGGATTAAATCTCACCTCTGACACTTGTTAGCTTTGTGCTAACAAACTGATGATGCTCTCTGAGCGTCAGCTGTACTCATCTGTAAAATGGAGATCATATTTAGAACTGCAAATTTAGAAGCCATTCAGACCAATGCCATTTTACCAGAGGAAGAAATTCAAGTGATGAGACTTATCCAGGGTAAGCACCTGCCTATTGTGGCTTAAAGAGATTATGTATGAAAAGCCTTTTAAAGGTAATCTTTTCTGAGTCAGGTTGTTTGGGAAAGGTAGAAGCACAGGGCATTTCAAAAGACTTTGTTAGCCCCAGAAAAATGTAAGGAATCGGTCCTGCAGTAGAAGTGAAAGGAAGAAACGGTATCACCGAAATTCTCCTTCCGTTTCTTCAAGGGTGTGGAAACAGTGGCAAGTGCCAGCACTTTATTTTTATTGTTGCTCTTCTTATTGTCATAGCCATTATCATTATTTTGGATCAGTGCCGTTTTTACTTCCTTTGCAAGGGACTTTTCAACACGTAGACTGCTTTCAAATCCGTGGTCACCTCGCCCGCGTTAGCGCCTAAACATTTTTAGGTGAAAGATCTGAGGTGAGGGGCTTGAGGATGAGGGAAGGAGAAGAGAATCATTGTATCTGGTGGATTCGGCCCCTAAATTGTTTGTCTACAAGCACTCTTAAAGAAGCTAATTACCTTGCGACTAGTAAGAAAGCTGACCTTCCGGGATAAGCTGCGTGTTTACGCAAATGGCACATCTTTTGAACAGAAACCCAATAAGATAACGCAAGATTTCCCACACGATCGTCAGATGGATCTGTCTACCTGTTCCTGCACGTTTGCCGCCACTTAACACGTTGTTAATGGGGAGGGAAAATGCAACTTCCGTTATTCCTGGATTTTCTTCTTCGTTTTTACTTCCCCGCTTTTTCCTTCATCCTCATCCACTCCAAACTGCAGCTGTAACGAATGTGGGTATTTTACCCTCTTAAATCTCAGTAACCAGACTCCACAAACAGAACAGAAGCACTTTCCAAATGAGTACTTAGCCACACCCAAGTGCTTTGAAGAAAATAGTCATTTATTGTCAAAGCATCCAACATACCGAGATAAACTATAAAGTTTGATAAATCTTTGGAAGGGGGGAAAAAAACACATAACTATGCATACTTCGTTTCACTGGCACAAAATTACACTTTGTATTAAAAGGAAATACATATTTACAGAATCGATGACATTCTTCATGGAAGTCCTGTAACTATTTCATGACACATGCACTTCCCCCTGGAAACTTAAACCAATCCCCCCTCCCCATTTTTCCAATTGGTTTTTTGCTTGTTTGCTTTGTAAGAACACAAACTGTAATCGCGTAACGCAGAAGCCTTGCATTCTTCTCTGTGCACTTTATATCTAAAATAAAAATTTGCCCTTCCATATAATTATTACATCTAAATCGTGTAAGTGCTTAATAATTTAAGTAGAAACGTATGACAAATGCATCAATATGTTGCAATATATGACATTTTAAAAATGTATTTTGGGGGAGTGAAAATGCGTGCATTAAAAAAACCCACAAAAACAAAACAAACCCCCGAATAAAAACCCACCACCCTCTCCGACTCAGATGTCTATTTCCGGGTGTGATGTTTGTGCAAGTAATGGCAAATCATGTCTCTGAGTCCCATTTGGTGGCCCTTTTGCCCTACACTGTGTGCGTGTGTGAGAGAGTGTGTCTGGGAAAGAGGTGAGGCAGAAGATTGGGGGGGGGGTGAGTTTCATTCCTGCAGCTGGTTTTCCTCATGTGCGTAGAGATCCCGCTGACTGACTGGTTCTTCCATTCCATTTCAATTATGCGAGGTCATGTGCCTTGATAAGTGGTGGCGCTCCCTGAAGGATTCGTTGCAAATGGGGCACTTGAGTTTCTCCTCTCGCCGTCTCTTCACCAGGGGCTCCATCGCATACTCCTTTTTGTGGTGTGACCGCATATGGTACACCAGGTCGGAAGTCATGCGGAAGGAGGCGTTGCACTTGGCGCACCAGTTCTGTGCGGGCAGGCAGAGAGACGTGAAGGATGGAGGCAGCAGCGTGAGCGCCGAAGGCAGCTGCAGCTGCAGGGGTCCGGCGGCAGCTGCGGCGGCGGCCGCCGCGGCCGCCGAGCTCTTGGGCCAGAAGGTAGTGGCGTACAAGAAGGGGCTCTGTTTGGGAAGTCCACCGCCATTCTGCAGCGGCGCGCGGGCCCCATTGAGGTCCGCAGCCGCGCTCTGAAGTTTCACTGCTAGAGGGTCTGCAGGGTACAGTCTGGTGGGGCCCACGCCGTCCCCCGGATGGCATGGCTCCAACGAGGCCAGCTTCTGGCCCAAAACTAGGGGAGGCATTTGGGAGAAGGTGCGCGCGGGTTGTGAGAAGGCGCTTTTACGTTCGTCGGGGACCGCGCCCTGGCCGGTCCCTGCGCTGGTGCCCGATCCTCCTCCGCCCGCGCTCCCGCTGCCACCGACGAGCTGTGGCACCGTGGTGAAGGCGCTGCCCCGGGCCGGGCTGGCTCCATCCAGACGGGCGGACAGCGGGCCCCCGGGCCGAGCTCCCAGGAGCTTCTCCGGGCCCGACGGCGAAGAAGAGGAGGAAGATGCGGGGGAAGAAGTATTGCTGGCCAAGCCGCCGGCTCCCGCTCCAAGATCCTTGTCCTCTCCGGCGCTCGTAGCCCCGTCAGCTGCCTCCTCCTCCTCCTGCAGGAGCCCCGAGGTTCCCCCGACGGCCCTAGAGGCCTTTTTCACCTCCACGAAGGCGCTGCGCTTGGCCTCGCCAGTCTCCGGACTGGGTGGGGCGAAGAGGCGGCCGTTTTCCTCTAGGCTGAAGTAGCTACCCGTCGTGCGGTACTGCTGCTGCGGGGTGCACACTAGGTCCTCCTTGGAGGCCGGCTGGGGCCGCTCAGCAAAGCGGCCTCGGCCCCCCACCAGTACCACCCCGCCTCGGCTGCCTTCCTCTAGCTCCTCTGGATATTTTCTCTTCGATTTGATGCTGCTGCCGCCTCCGCCGCCACCGCCACCACCCCCACTCCCCCCGCTCGGTGTGGCGGGGTGCAGAGCGCAGGTGGTGTTGCTGTTCGGGCTCAGCTCCACCTCCTGGTGGCTGCTGCCACTGCTGTTGACTCGGCTGCCTAGACTTCGGGGAGGAGAGCAGCTGCGGCCCCCACGGGAGTTTTCCAGCTCTCGGGCAAGGTTGTGGAAATCCGTAGACGGCTTGACGCCGCTTCCCGCGCCCGGCGCAGAGGGGTTGCTGCTGTCCTGGGATGCCTGGTAGTGGTGGATGGCAATGGTAGGTGGTTTGCAATACTTGGGTCCGGGTCCCAAAGTAGCCTCCTGCTGCTGTGGGTCCTTGGCCACGCTGCCGCTGCCGCCACCGCCGCCGCCTCCGCCGCTGTCGCCGCAGCCTCCACCTCCTCCGCTGTGTTCCTTTGTGCAGCCTCCTCCGTCCTGCTCGTTATGGGAGCTGGTGTCAGCGCTGTGCAGTCTCTTGGGGCAGCGGAAGCGCAGGTGCGCCACGTAGGGGAACTCGAACTGGAAACGCTGGCTGCAGTCCAGGCATGTGTAAGGGGGAGACCCTGTAGCAAGCAGACACACATGTGCACACACACAGAGAAGCTGTTACTCTTGTCACCCCGTGCCAGTCTGGCAGTCCTAACCCTTGCACATATCCGCATGCCTCTTTTAAGGTTCTGGAGAGTAAGGTCTGTAAACTAATCAGATTACACCACTTCCAGCCTAACTCTTCCTTCCCAGTTAGTATTTAATTCAGCAATTAAGTTACAATGTCTACTTCGTGGCCAGCCTTCCTCACCTGCAGCCTACCTTCATTCAGAGCTACTTCGCACTGGGGACTTACATCAGACCTTCCAAAAAAGCCTTCATTTTCGAGGCCGTGGGCTGCTCTGAAGTGAGTTCCAAGGTTGACGGACTCCCTCCTCCCTCCAGTTTCTCTCCCCAAGGCTCCAAAGGGGCCAATGATTTAGGTAGACTGACAACCTACCATTCATTTTGCTGTGGGATCTAGAAGAGCAGAGCAAAAGAAGGTCAGTCAGGTCTTTCCCATACCAGACAAGCAACTCCTCGTCTTTGGCAATCCTTCGAAGGGATCGGTAAAATAACTGGCCGTTTTTGATGTAGGCTTCCAGGTTCTGCTCTTCTTTATCTCTGGCTGACTGAACCAGGCGAAGCCACATCAGACCTTCTGACGAGCCGTTTGCTGCTGACGTGTCCACCTGCATTAAATGTACCCCGAGCAGTCGGTCAGCAGCGTCCAACCTGCTCCCCTCAACCCCACAGCCTAGGCCAGGTGCACTGAACTCACGCGCTGCCCCTCAGGCTCGCAAGCATTTGATCCAAACCCTCTCCCGCACAAATTTTTGTGACTCACAGAAAGCATATTGAACAACTTCAGTAAATCTTTAAGTCATTGTTTCACTATATATTTAACTTAAATATTATATAATCAATTTTACTGCAAAAAAACCCAACAACTTATCTTTTAAGTTTAAGATTTAGGGGCTAATTCAATTAGTTCTTTCCCGACTTCAATTTCTGCGATTTGTACTTTGTTTGATAAAGAAATGGGCCTAGGATAGGCCTAGACCCCAAGTGAGGTGTGTACCACAGATCTGGAGCCAGGAACTTAGTTCACAATCAACTCCCTGTGTGAAGGAGCAAAGCCACATCACCGTTCTGAGTGTCCTCATCTGTAAAATGAAAAGTTGGCCAAAAAGACCTGGAAGATTCCTTGAAGCTCTAAATCCCATGACCTCCAGATTTGTCTGTTGTTGGGAAAAGGTTGTTATAAGTCTGTAGCATTCAAGCTGCTTTTAAAACTCTGTTCAGCAGCCAGTCCATCTCCTTTGGAGCATTAGGTCCAAGAAGTATACGTGTGTGGGTGGTGGTGGTGGTGGTGGTGGTGGTTGGTGGTGGTGGTGGTGTTTCTTTTGAGGGGAGAGAGACACTTCGGAAGTTACCAAGTGAAAGGTAAAAAGAATTACTGTACATACAAATGGTCCCAGCATGTAGGAAACCTCTCAACAATAGAAAATACTCAGCCAATTCTACATTCAAAGTGAAATGGATAATTGAATCAGTTGTTGGATATTTTATTATCAGAACTTTCACGTGATAGGGAGGTAGGACGAAGGCAAAGAATATTTCACTTTAGCATGGATAGATACTGCTACTACAGGCCCCGCTGAGTTGATACGTTAAGGGAGGGGCAGGGGTATAAATCTTTCCTTAGCCCCTGCTTAACAGCTCATTGCCAATGCATGCATCAAATAGCAGTCAAATCTTACCCGGAATATATAAGGAACTGTTCTCTTGTCCGTGGACTTGAGAGCTATAAAAGCTATACTGTCGTACAAGGAAGTGTGGCTTAGAACGCAGGGACCGAATATCGCGTTTTCTGGGATGTCGCAGGTGGTGTAAACGCTGGTAAAAATATCCGTCAGACACTGCTGAACAGCCTTGGCATCTCCATCCCAGACGCCCCTTTGGACACCGGTATCCTCCATCGCTTAAGACACATGCATAGCAGGAGAAAAAGAAAAGTTACACAAAGTTATCTACGTGAATCAATGTATAGCCACTTACATCTTAGAATCTGATTCCACTACTACTTTTATGGTGCTGTTGTTTAAAAAATAAAATTAAAAAGTGTTTCCTTTGAGTGAAGCCTGTTGTACTTTGATGTATTCAAGTAAATTGAGACTTTCGAATTTCAACATGTGAACTGAAGTGGCAAAGGGGTGGGGGTGGAGAGGAGGGAAGCGGTGCAGGGACGGACATAGGAAGAAATAGTCATATTTACATTAACTTACACAGAGCAAAAGGTAAGTGAAGTTGAGAATAAGAGTTGAGTAACGTAATTTTAATATAGCCTATTGATTCTCTCAAAGTAAGAAAAACTTCTAGTGGTTAAGGGAAGGCGTATGCCTTCGGTCCTTCTTGAAGTCTGGGGCCAGAGACCTGATCTTTTTATTCCAAAAAGAGATCCAGTGTTGGAGAACAGGCTGTGGCGGAGGAGCATGGCAAATGGATTTCAAGTGGACTGTCAATGTCACTGATTTCATGTCAGCTAACCTTTAGCCTAGTCTACAAGAGGGAACGTATGTCTGCTCATTACCATAATCCAGCACTTTCCCTCCGAGACTTTAATTAAAAGCAGCAAGCAGAGGTAATTATTTTTTACCTCGACACGCTTATTTATGGATGAGGGTGAATCCCAGTTACCTTGTTATACAAGGGGATAGATTCAGTCAAATGTGACTTGTGAAGTGTGCAGGTACAAGACAAACACAAAGTATCCCAGCCTAGGAATACAATTTGTGCAATGAGTTGTGAATGTTCACTTCCCCAGACAGGACACTTTTTTTTTTTTAAAGATGTGCGGGGGTGGGAGTGGGGGCTGGGTCGAACTCTAAGTCGGTTGTGCTCTTAAGGGTGGGCTCTCCAGCTGTTAGGAGCTTTTAAATCAGTCACTGATAGAGAGCTCTCTATTAAGCTGTCATATATGAACATTTCTCCCCTCTCCCTCTGAACACGCCAAAATAAAATGAGGTAAAATTTTTAAAAAGGGAAATCTTGGAAACATTGAAAAATGAAAAAGGTAGTTTTGAATCTTAAAGATCTATTGGAGTAGTGCTGCTTTATTGTTATCATACTCGGCGGTTCTTAGGTTCCTTGGACCTGGCACTTCCCTAATTATTATCTCAGTGATATCTGTAATGTCAGTAGCAGAAGATATGGGGGCTAATTCTCTCCTGAGAAACCACTGATTAGGAATTAATATTATTAATGTCCATTTCCTCTTAGTATTCATTAACCAATTAACTTCACAATTTGGTTTGGAGATTATATATACATACATACATACATATATATATATATATATATATATATATATATATATATATGTATTTTTTTCCCCCTTTCCCTGTAGTTAACAACCGTGACTGAAAGTTTGATTTGGTTTGCTTTTTTTTTTTTTTTTAACATTTGCTTTACTGTTACCTCCACCACAGGAAAAATATAGGGAGGGGAATCCTTAAAAGAGAAAGTTCCTTTTTTAAATGGACAATAGCTCTTTCCTCCGTCATTTCTCTATGGTTTTTTGAGATCTGGTTACAAATTAATGTAATTTAAAAAAAACAACTCCACAACTTTTTTTGTTCTTAAAAAGCCTACTTCTATTCTCTCCTTTCATTTTGCTTCAATTCAACGTTTTAACCTCGAATTTTTCTCTCTTTTTAGCAAGTCCCATTCCCAGAAGCCTTTCATTGTGCTGGAGGTCGCCCCGTCACTTCGGGCAACAGCAGGGACGCAGTCATTAAAATGCAGTTTTACCTAACAATACGGGGAAAGGATCCCCTGAACACCCGGGCTAATCATCTCGCCGCCCGCCCGCCAAGCCCCAAGCCCAGAATCATCACAATAACCCGCTAGTGGGTATGCTGAAGAGAGCAGACAAGAGCAGAGGGCTTGCCTGCCCGCCTGCTCGCCAACCTGCCAGCTTCCTTACTCTTCCCTATGCCACTGATGAATTAAGATCTCAAAAACCTGCTCCGCTCCGATCTCTCTCTCTCTCTTTTTCCCCCCTTCTCGGAGCCTCTTTCTGGGAACCAGATCCATGCAGAGAAAGCCAACCGCTCCAAGGCAGTCGGGTTCCATCCCTTCTCTTCAACCGGCCCTGGCATTGTCTGCCGGTTGCCAAATCACCACCTCGGTGGCAAACCGCTTCTTTCCCCTTTCTCCCTTTTGTATAAAACGTATTGGTGTTGTAGGTCCCCAGCTCATCCCCACCCTACAGTGCTTGAAATTTGGAGGAACAAAATACTTCCCCCACCCACTCCTACTGTGTCCCCTCGTCTACCCCCCCCACCCCAACACACAGAAGCACGGACAACCACCACCAACGTGAATGGACTTACCAGGAATAAGGTCAGAATATAATCCCCAAACCAAGGATACCCGAAAAGGATAAAGGATAAAATCGACTCTCGTCTCCCCCTACCCCTAAGTATCTATTGTATTTCCATGTCAGGAGGCGATGCTTTTCCTGTCCTGTGTGCCTTGTAAAGCGAAAGGGGGAGAGAAAAAGAGAAAAGGAGGAGAAAAAAGGAGGAGGAAGAGAGAGAGAGAGAGAGAGAGAGAGAGAGAGAGAGAGAGAGAGAGAGAGAGAGAGAGAGAGAGAGAGAGAGAGAGAGAGAGAGAGAGTTGTACAGATGGACCCGATGCAGTGACTGACTGGCACACAGACACACACTTTTTGTTTGCTGCACATAATCTGCCCAATGACGCGTGACAGCCCATGTCCCCTCCCTTTAACTCTTTACTCGGCGCTGTTCTCCCTGTGGTTGTCCCCTCTCCTTTTTCCGCCTCCCAGCTCTGCTAGCTACCTGGAGGTCCAGCACTTCCCTTCAGGAGTTGAAAAGCCTCTTGTGGGTGTTTAGATTCCATCTCTTCCCAAAGCTTCATCATTTTGGGTTGGGGGGGAGAGGGAGAGGGGAGGGAAAGGAGGAGAGAAATAAATTAATTTTATGGGAAATGACCCTTCCCACCAAAACCATCACCAAAAAATAAATTGGAAGGGGAGTCGAAAGTGTCAGTAGGTTATTGGTATTCCCGTTGGCACTTAAAAAGCTCCCGCAGCAGAGATGATGAGAGTACCACCAAGGGTATCTGAAACAGGCGGCCTCGGGTGACGGGTAGGGAAAGGGAGTGAGTGGGTTGGGTTAGCCCAAAATTGCTCCCAAATCACTGACTGAGGCTAGCTACGTTAGGGTTTGGGGAAGGAAAAGGAAGAATGCCAACTTCTTCTCTCAGGATTCCTCAGATATCCACTGTCCCGAATTTTCAGAGGGAGGAATAAACTTAAAAAACAAACAAAAAAACACAGTAGGTCAACTTTTCCATAGCCTCTGGACCTCTTTTCCAGACCCGCTGAGGGTGGTGACAGAAGAGGAAAGAACAGGGTTATGCCAGAGGAGCAGGAGGGTAAGAGGAACAATTCCTGAAGCTTTGCAAGGAGAGCGGGGTGGGAATAATAGGATTTGTAAGGACGCTCATCCTCTCCTCTAGGTGGGTAGAGCAAGAGATCTCAAGTGATTGACGAAATCTTCAGATTACTAGCTCCCACCCCACCCCCACCCCCAGCCCTTAACATCAACTGAGAGAACTCCCTGCGAAGTCAAGCTGGGAATTCCTGAAAGGTAGTATGGACTCTTTGAAAGTCTGTGGGGGGTGGGAAAAGGAGTTTAATTCAAAGGCTCACAGACTGCTGTGCTTCTCCAGGCCTTTGAATTCCTAAAAAGAAGCCACATGGGGAATCTCAGGAGCACCTTACCTGCTCTCTACCTCCTCCTTCCAATGTCATGTCCTATAGCTTTGGGGTGGTGGTGGTGGTGGTGTGCTGGAAGAGTCTTAAAGTGGACTGATGGAATCTGTCCTTCAACACAGTTTTACTGTTATTGAGAGAGGCTGAAAGCTTTCTCTATTCCAGCCTTCTATTAAAGGAAAATAGGCTACTTGGTTGATATAAAATTGGTCTCCTTAAGCATTGTGCCTATGGCCAAAAGTCATGAAGACATACAGCAATTATCCATATAATTTCAGGAGACCACATATTATAACTCCATTCTACAACATTTATAACACTCTACAAAAAAAAAAATCCACTTAAGATTCTCACCTAGCAAGAATATTTGGTTCAAATTGACCATGTACTGGCAGATTTTCAAGTCATTTGGACTGGGTAGAGAACTTAAGGGCAAAATACATTCCTTTAGTCGCACTCAGTTCAACCCATTCTCCTGTAATTGTTGGGGATGGTGGCAGAGAGAAAGGATAGGTCAATTTCATTGAAGTCAATGAAATGTATACACTGTGCAGATGCATCAAATACATATGCACTGATAAAATAGAGTTGCAAATAGAGATAGGGACGGAAACTTGAAAAGAAGCAGTTAAGAGGAAGATTTGTATAGGGTGCTAGTTCGGTCCCTCTCTCTGGCATTGCTAGGACTCTCTCTGAAGCTGAACACATGGGCAGTTTTCTGGGTCAGAGTGGCATTAAACTCATCTCCTCTTGGATGAAAAAAAAAGGATTTCTTCTGAAGAGAAATGATGGAGACTGATAGAATGTGGTAGAAGAGAGATCATTACCTGATCTCTCCTCCTTTTGCCTCCCTTTTCCTAATTTCCCATTTCTTCTCTCCTCCCCCCCCCACCCCGCTCCAAGTCATCTGCTTACCAAGGCCAGGACTGATTCTGTTCAGACAGCATCTTTGTGCTGCAGGGGAACTGAGCTGGGAAGCTTCTCTCCTCGAACGAAAGACTCTGTGGTCATTCTGTTCCATTTGAGTTACAAATCAGAAAGTGGCAAAGGCCAGAGAGAGCAGCACAGAGGACACTCCCTAAAGTCTTAAATTTCCTCCCCTTTAAAGAAAGCTTTCTTGAACTACTTGAAAACCCACATTCTTCTTTCCACCTCATTTGTGTCTCCCATCTCATCTCATGCCTACTCCTTTTCTGGTAGTATCTCCATCCTTTCCTAAAGAGAAATTAAAGGCACCCAGCAATGCATATACCCCTATCCCCCATATTTTCTCATTGAACTGATCAGGACCCATCCTGTTGAGAAATAATAATGATGATTTTGACCAATCTTTCCTGCTCTAAATCAATGAAAGTTTTTCAAAGAGCTTTCCTGTCAAATCCCTGAGAGGTAGAGAGTACAAGATTGATACAAACAGAACCTTATAGAAGAGCCACCAAGGTTTCCTTTTACCATTTATTTCAAAGATGTGTTTCTTTCATATCCTTTGTACTGTTAACATTCATTTAATACCAAAAGACTAAAAGAGCAATCAGAAGGGGAACAAATCATTAAAAGCACTCTGTTGTCCAAACCAAGGTGTTTCTTTGGGGGGGGGGTGTTGATAGAAGTAAGACAAAAGAAAATAATATTTTAAAGGACTTTAGCAGAAAATCCAGGAAAACCTTTAGGTCTGAACAGAAATATTAAGATAAACAGGTAGATGAGAAAATAGTGAGGAAGAGAAGAGGGTTGATGAAGAAGGGAGAAATAAGGGAAAGGAGACTCACAAACATCAGCAGAGGCTCTTTCAGGAAATTGCAGGTGGGTTAAATGAAGGTATAGAGTGTCCTAAATTGCACTGATTTATTTATTTGTTTGTTTGTTTTTAGGGACAGAAAGATTGAGAACTGCGCCCTAGTACAATTACTTAATGAGTGGGGAGCTAGACCTTCTAAAAAAAATTGCAAATCAAGGTGGCACTTTTTCTACAGATTCCACTTGAAAATACTTCAATGAATACCATAGCTGCAGAATTAAGTTTCTTAAGGAAGAAGATAAATGAATCTTTTAGCAATGGGACTTCTTGTCTTTTCCTTAACAAGTCAATCAGTTACATGTTTCAAATATGCCCCTATCTGTACATATTCTTCAGGCTGCACATAGTGCAAAAAGGGTTCTTGCTAATTCTATGGGGAAAAACATAAACCAGGTATTTACTCTTTCTCTCTCCTTCCAAACAAAAAAACTTGGGAAAGCTATGGCTTTGAACATCGTGGAGGAAAAGAAAGCTTTATTTTGTCCTTTACAGATCTTTTTTCCCCCCTGCCTTCACTGTGCTAGTTTGAATAGAGTTAAGTAGACTTTCGACACCTATTTTATCCAATTCCACCAAACCTGTCACCTGAATTAAGGAGATTGACATAACATTAAAAATATGGGAGTATGTAAAATTTAGACAGTAATTTCTGCCTGAAAGACTTTCAGTATTTCAAATGGCACAGTTCTTGCTTTGTGGTATAAATTGTCTAAATGAATATCATTAATGGGATGGGGGGAAGAAAATCTACAAATTATTTTTATTTCTCTCAAAATTTAAGGGACAGCACGGTACATAAACCAACTTGAAATTGCCCTGACATTATTAATTATAGAAATTCACTGATACTAAAAGCACTGTTAAGACATTTATGTGCATTTATTCAGCCTCAAAAGCGACTATAAAGCACACCTCAGTCAATAGTTTCATCTAATTCTCACGGAACAATAGGTTTATGCATATATTTGGGGTTCTTTTCCCTGATATTTTATTTCCAATTAAAATGTTAAAGGGATAACAGCGAACAAGGATGAGGGATATTCCCTGTGTATATTTCTGTAAAGATTTTCCCAGATATTGAAAAGATAAGCGGATATTCTACTTCTAATGCCTTCTTTTGGAAAGGATAAGTAGAAAGATAAGTTGAAAAATCTGCTGAAGTGGGACAAAGGGAAGGAGAAAAGTTGAAAAAAGGGGAAAAGAGGAAGGGAGAGAAGGAACAGTAGAGAAAACTGTTTTAAGATTACTAGAGTGGGAATTCTTGTGCTCAGCTGGTATAAGTATTGGGGAAAAGAAATCAGTCTTGTTCATAAAAGATGAACTCTTGTGGGACGATCTTCATAGAAACCCTACAGGATGCCTACACTGAAAAAAATTACCTTCCTCTCCCCTCCAGGATCACCTCTACTCCTTACAAACAGGGAATTGGTTTCCAAAGGTTTTGGCTTTCTTTTCCAGAAGCAACCTGGAAGGAACGAGAAAGAAAGGTGGAATGAGGATGGAGCTAACTTCATGCCTTTTCCTTTCCAGACTGAGGTGGATGGCAAGAAGGAGCAAGTGAAAGAAAGAGGGAAGAGAAGGAAAAAGAATTCTACTTGTGCTTTAACTGACAGTAAATGACAAATTGCTTTCCTTCATTGGAACTAGGGGGATGGGGCACATTTCCAAGAATAAACTTGATCAGACAAATGTGAAAGGAGGAAAAACAAGAGAGGATTCTGTGAACTTCTTGGGAGTGCTCAGGATGGCAAGTGACCCTGGAAACATCTCCCATTGCTGTGTATGAGGTGACCAACTTGGCTAAGTCACTAGAGTCCTTTGATGTAGTGAGCCAGCAGAAAAAGGGTTGAGGTCTTAATTCAAAGCACCGTCAGATCTTCCTCTGTGAGGCTTAAGAAGTGTAGTGGGATGAAAATAAGAGCACATCAGTATTATTTTAAAAGAATCTTTCAACCTGAAGTTCACCTTTGTCTTTTTTTTTTGAGGGGTGAGGACACTATTATTTGGGTGTTT